AGGAAGGGGGGGAAAGGAAGGAAGGGGGGAGGGGGAGGAACAGCTGGAGGGTCTGGAGGCAGGCAGAGCAGGGAGAGGTCAAGGTCAGCTAACGATGGGCACTCACTTGACAGCTACATGCCAGGCCCTGCGCAGCCCCCATCCTCCAGGTACACATGACCTGGGTAAGGGATAGCAAATGTCAGTGAGGGCTGCCTGACAGAGGTGAACAGTCAACCTACACTTTGGAGCTGGTTAGGATTCCACCAGGTGGGGAAAGAGGAGTGTCTCTACCCCCTTTCCTGCCTTGGTCCAGGTCCCCTTCAGCTACTGCAAGGGTCTCCTCACAGGTTTCCCCACCTCTACCCACACCCCCCATTCCATTCTCCTACAATAGTCATTCTCATGTTTCTAAAATATAAGTCTGATCACAACCCCCTCCTCAGAACCTTCCACGCTCCCTGCTTCCCTGCACACAGGGTCCGGACTCCTTAGCCCTTACTCAGCCCCCGCTGGCCTCTTTGGCCTCCCTGGTTATTCGGCCTTACTCGGAGAGTTCCCTCAGTGCTCCACTTCCCTCCTCACTTTCTCACCTTCAGCCAGGCTGCCTCCTCCCCCTGGAGCCCTCTGCCCTCCTCATTTCACTGGTTAACTACAACTTATTCTTTGGGCCTCAGCTTATAGGCTGTTTCTTCTTGAAAGCCTTCTGGAACCCTCTACCTCCACCCCCCAGGCTGTGTTGGGTGCCCCTCCACTCTGCTCCCTTTGTGGCCTGCATTTCCATCATCAGACATTTGTCACTCCGTTGTCTGCCTGTTTTCCTATCCATTTCTGCTGCTGGGCATGTTCTCTGCTAGGGCAGAACCACAGCTGAGTCATTTACCTTTCGAGCCCCACACAGTACCTGATAAATGTTTGAATGAATGAATTGTCTAGGTGGAGGAACTGCACGCGGCATGGTCTGGGTAGAGGAAAGTCCCTTCTCCCTCCTCTGGGTACCTTCCATTCATCCTGGCACCATGTTGTCCCCTGTGTTATGCTGCTTCCTATTTCCTATATCTGAGCCCTGTCTCCCTAATTGATCTGAGACGCCATTGTAAGCTATAAAGACTAGCAGACCCAAAAGGATGTTAACTGCTAATAACCACAGAAAGTGGCTCTGCTTCCCTAGTGAAAATTAAATGAGCTTCACCTGTTAAAATAGCAAAAAGAAATAAGAAAATGATAACACCCAGTGCTGGTGAGCCTATGATGAAATTGGCACTCCCATTACTGCTGGGAGTGTAAATTGCAACAATCATTTTTGAAGGCAATCTGGCAATATTGTGTCATAAACTCTAAAAATTTTCGGACATGCTGGCCTAGCAATCCCATTCCTGGTCATCTATCCCTAGAAAATAGCCCAAATATAGACAAAGTTTTAGGCACAAAGCTGTTTGCTTCAGTGGTTTCTTACAACAGCAAAAACGAGGGGGATGGTTCTGTAAATCATGTTCAACAGTGACACAAGTCTACAGTCATTATTAACAGACAGTGTTTACTGGCACTGTAATGATTTATCTAATACTTATATCAAATGTAAAAGGAACTGAGGTACAGAGAAATTAGGTAACTTGCCCGAAGTCAAGCAGTCCATGTCTGATTTGAACCTAGAAATTGGGCTCCAGAGCCCACACTTTCCACCCTGACACTGGATCTGTTAGAAAGGATTAAAACCACCCTTCAGTAATTCAGAAAATACCTGCGATACATTAGTCAGGAGTGGGGGGAGGGAAGTTTTAAAAAATTATGTTTAGAATGATGACATCTATATAAAAATTAGGTGCAGGGAGAAAAGAGGGGAAGGAAACACAAACATGCTAATAACGGTGGTGTTTCAGGCCACTCTGATTTTTCTATAGGGTGGTTACGTGACTTTTATTTAAGGACTATTTTTAATAAAACTAAAGGTTCAGCAAGCTTTGGCCAAGCAAAGACACCCCAAGCCACCCACAGCCCCGTGAGGATTCTGGCCTCATGCCCTGCAGGTTTACCCAGGAGGAGAGAGGGGCTTGCTCGAAGTCCCACTGTGAGCCTCATACCCAGCCCAGACCCCAGCCATGGGCTCCCCCTCCTATCTGGAGGCTTTAGGGGACAGGACCAGGCCAAACAAAAGAAAGCCTACCCAGGCCACTCACTCTCCTGCTTAAATCCCATTTGTGTTCCCATCACTTTGAGGTACAGTTCAAACTCCCCAGCATGGCACCCAGGGGCCTTTGCCATGGAGGCCCTGCTAGCCACATGCATCCCACAGGTACCTCCCTCTCTCCAGCCTCACTACCTGCAGATTTCAAAACTAGTTGCTCTCTTGTGCCACTGTGGCTTTGCACAGGCTGTGCCCTTTCACCTGGGGGTCATCACCAAGCTGAAACCCTACAGGTTTCCATCAACTATTAAGTCAGCTCGGTGTCACTGCCTTGGGAAAACTTTCCTGATCACTGGCCCCTCCAAGGCTACATTTGCAGCTTTTCCCCTGACTTCCCACAGCTGCCTGGCTTCCCCCACTAAAGCACTGATCCCATTGTCCTAGAATTGCCTGGTTACTTGTCTGCCCAGTCCCCACAGAGATGGAAGCCCTCCAAGGGGAGCTTGGGTCTGGTTCTGGGTTACAACCCCAAGCCCTGACTCAGCCCCACAGCTCACCAGGCTCTTCCTATAAAGTCACTTTCTCACCTCTTCCCCCGCAGGAATGGGGTCACTCTATCATACACACCCACTGCCACCTGCATTCTCCCTATCCCACCTTTGTTTCACACCTCTAAATACTCCAGTCCTGACACACAAAGATGGAAGCCACCACTGTAGGCCCAGAATCAAGTCCTGGCCACATAGTAGGTACTCAAGTGTCTAGTTCACACTAGATGCCTAATACATGTTCACTGAGAGAATCAATGAGAGGAGGGTGTCTGTCCACGATGGCCTGGAAGACCGAGAAGTTTGCCAGGAGAGTGAGAGGGTGTAGAGAGAACCTTCTGAGCAGAGGGGAAGTGTGTGCAAAGGCATGGAAAACTGCTAGCCTGTAAGGATGCAAAGGGTTTTCAAACATGCTCCCTGCCGCAGAGAGGCAGCAAGCTACTGCTGGGGGCGTGGCTGGGCTAGGGGGTGGGGTATTCCTGGGAAGATGAGCCCATCTGAATGAAGAGTTCATGAAGGGGGGACTTACTGATGGGGGGAAGGGGAGATGTCAGATGCCAGGGATGGGCAGGCCAGGTGGAAAGAACTGCATGTGCAAAGGCCCAGAGGCAGGAAAGCACAGAATCACGTTTGGTCTACTGTAAGTACAGTGTAGAAATTCACAGAGGAAGGAGGGAAAGTTGGCCGGGGCAGTTCACAAAGGACCAGAGTTCCAGGCTAAGGTGCTTGGATGAAAGGCGGGGGTGGGGTGGGGGGAGAACAGGACATGGGAGGTCCCTGAGCAGAAGGCCGTGACCAAGGTTTTCAGTGGAGAGGTCATTATGGGGCCAGAGGGATGGCCTGAAAAGGACGAGCAGGAGAGGGTCTAAGAAAGACAAGTTGAGGTTTCCCATCTTCCCAACGCCTTGACACCCCTGTGTGCTCCAAGCTTTCCTCCCATGACCCCTCTGCCCTCCATGTGCCCTACTCCATGCAGCCCAGAGCCCTGAGCCCCAGCTGCTGCACCCCACCCCACCCCCAAGACCCAGGCCAGCCTCAGAAGCTTGCTCCTGGGAACTTCCTGTGAGGAACAGGCTCCCAAGGGTCCTGGATCCAATTAGGCTGGGTTTCCGCATCCCCGTGGGATTGGCAAGGGCTGTTTCCATTGTGGTGGTGGGGTTAACGAGCAGGAGGGGATTGCTCTCTGTGCCCTTGTCAGATGGGCTCCCCATCCCACTGCCAGCCACCCAGAGCCACCTAGAACAGTGACCCTCTCTGGGAGCCTCATTGCCCTCACCTAGGAAATGGGCCTGACACCCCTCTCAAGGCTGAGAGGGAATATATTCTGCAGGCTTTGAACACATGCCCTTCTCTACTTCCATTGCCCCCGGGGATCCCCAGCTCCCATCCCC